CGCATTGGGGAATTGTGGGTAATGAATAGCTGGAGTACAGACAGTCGAGGTGGGTCCGGGGAAAAGAAGGACACGGTGGAAGTCAATGGTATTCGCAAAAACAACTCCCAAGTACAGACGGTCCCACGCCAACGCCTCACATCTTATCAAGCTGTTTACGTAGCTTAAAAAAGTAAATATTTAGCTAATAACGAGAATGTTTCGCAGAGAAGTTCAAGAGAGGTTATGGTCATGTTCCAATCCAAGCCTCCCTGAAATGTTACGCTTCAATGGGATACTAACTGCCATTTTTTAATTAATTTATTTTGCACGTATATAGCAATAAAAAAAGGCACACTAGATAAAAAGTAAAGGCCTGAAGAAGCAAAAAACCCAAAAGTGTTTATGAATGCATTAAAATTGAACATTGTAGCTTTGCATTACTAAAAAATTACATTTAAACACCTTGCATTAAATATATTTGATTCAAACATGGTTAAAATACATTTGAAATCTCACAATTGAACGATTATCAGACATGATCATGAACTATCAAACATTTTATCAAACACTTTTTAAACGTTTCTGATGCCGTCACTAATCTGTATCTTATATCGTATTGTATCAACATTTTGGAACGTGAAAATTACAGTTTTGACGAGTATTGCATTGATGAATCTCTGTATTGGTTTTAAAGTAAAATGTGAAATGTTTAGGGATCGTAGTTGCATTGTAAAGATTTGTATACATAAAAATACAAATCTGATAACTATTAAGAATGTTAAATTTGATGAACACTTACGCAGATGATGTTAGTGGCTTGGAATGAGTTGCAATTCAAACTAAACGTTTTTGCAACAGTAATATTTTGTTCCAAGTAGTTGAGAAAGTGCTTGTGTTACAACCACGGCCCCTGAAAAACGAGAATAAAACTTGAGCAAATAAAAGAGCGGTCGATCATGTCTCAAGTCAGTGGTTTTAATGACAAATATGAATTATAATATCACTTTTATACAAACTTAGTACACCAAAACCACATTATTACCTGAAAAAGGGGAATAAAACTTGAGTAAATAAAACAGCGGTCGTTCAGGTCTCAAGTCAGTGGTTTTAATGACCCAACACCAAACCAGAGCTCCCCCTGCTGTTCAATGGACGGAATGTGCTTCATAAAAACTAAAATCTTTCCATAACACCAGAAAACTGTATAATATAATCATGTAATACAAATAATAATCATGTACCAATACAATGGAATTACTTTTGAAAATAAATCCTATTATGAATTCTATATTTAACAGTAGTAATATTGTATAATTTTTCATATAATTTTTAAATTGTCTTGTTTTACCATTACACTTGCCCAGACTTTATTACAATATGACACATAGAGATAAATTAAACTATGTATAATGTAAGTATAGATATTTAGTCCAGAAATGTTACAGACTTTTCTTATAATACCAAGAGAGATATTTTTTTTAATGCTTTATTTGCCAAACTAAATATTAACTTGTTATATATGTTATATTTTTGCTTTGCCAGTTTCACAGTTTTACTTTAAACCTGTGTTGTATTTATTCAATGACAGGTGTTTAAGTGTTCAGAAATACTATGAAAACGTACAGTAGCTCCCCTCTCCACAGATCTGACTTGTAACTTGGTCTGGAGGCATTGCGGGCTTGTCTCCATGGAAATAGATAAGTTTAATGCTATACTGTGGGACCTTCTAGACAAAGCACTAACATCCCAATGAAGCACTTTTCATAAATTTCACTTTCATTTTTAATGCTCTGAGTCTCCCCTCCGTTTGCTCCCCTGGCTAAGTCACTACCCTTTCATAGCACTAATGAAACTAGTGCACATAGTATCAGGTTTGTGAAGTTGTAGTGTATTGTTTTGTATCATGCTTTGGTATATTTATGGAAAATTGTCGTGTGGGCGAAGCATTGGACAGAATCGTACTGCTAACTGCCTGGGAGAGATCACTAGATTATTCAAACATGCATGGACGCCATATAAAACCTCTTAAGCAAGTTTTTGATGAGGGAACAGCGTTATAACGTTGTAGAAAGCTCCAAAAAGTTGATTTTAATGTAATGATTTGAACTTCTTGTCATTTTATGAGAACCATAAAGTCACATTTTTTCAGTTAAACAAATAGTTGGATGAGAACCATATGGAAGCAGTTGCATGGGACCATCCAAGACACTTGTTCCTCATGGTGCAGCTTGACAGCGAGAGAGGGGACTAAGTGGGGTGCAGGTACCAATTTGACCAGTCTCAATAGAGCGCAATACTGTGTTGCTACTCAAAGTACGACGTCCAAAGAGACTGGGGAATTGTGGGTAATGAATAGCTGGAGTACAGTTGAGAAGTGTCCGGGGAAAGCAAGCAAGGACACGGTGGAAGTGGATGGTGATCTGAAAAATAACTCCAGGAACTAGACGGGTCCCTCTCGCTGTTGCAAATTGGGGGTGTGCAATCATGTAAGGAGAGTTGAAATTAAATTCGGGGCACTACGGCTCTCTCCTCACTGAAAGAATTACTGACCTCGGCGAGACACAAAGGACTCGTAATCTAGTTTGGGGGCACTTATCTCTTGTCTCAGTCTCTTTCTGGAACTAAAGTAGGACAAAAGAGAGGTTTTATGGGTAAGCAGGAAGATATCGGAGAGGTACAGGAGCGCATGACTTTGAACAACTTTGAATTGTTTTTTGTATTCAGTAATAGGACACAGATAATGATAGAAGACTTAAAGGGCCCATATTGTGCTGTTTTCTGATCTATGTTATAATGTTGTTTCCTGGAGTTGTGTTTTATCTCATTCACACATGTTTAACTCACAAATTTGTCATATTTACGATCAGTTCTTCTCTCAGGGCCTGTTTACACGAGAACGCTTGCGGGTAAAAAGGATAAAATATTTTATCAGAAGTGCCTTTCGTTTAGACGGTGACAGGCTTAAAAACGCAAATATCTGAAATCACCCTCCAGAGTGAAAAAGTTGAATACGCGCCCCCCTAGCGTTTCTCTCTACACTGCCCAAGACGCAAAACTCTGGTCAGTTCTGCTCATGTCGCGTATGTGTTTACGTCACATACATCGCCACTTGGCTGCCTGGCATGCACACCCAATCAAATTCCACACACTTTTGCGTCACCAGATTTCCTCCCAAAAACGCTTGTCTAAAAAGTGAAGATGCGATGCCGCTTTTGCGTCTTCTGTTCAGACCGTCATCATATAAACGTAGCCTAAAACTGAAAACACTCCACCTTGTGATGTCATGACAGGAAGTGGGCCTGTGTTTTTTAAACTCATAAATCATTTTTGATGATTTCAGCTCTCAATCACTTCTGAACTAAAAGAAAAAGGTAGCTGTCAAATTGAACACTACCATTACATGACATCACAAGGTGGAACAGAGCATTTTGAGCTTTACAGCTGTAGATAGACTAATAATAAAGGGTTACTCAAAAAGTTTAAATGAAACAAAGCACAACTTTAGGTATCTTTTTGATTAAGTAACAACATTATAACATGACTTAACTCAGAAAAGTCCATTTTGAGCAATATAGGACTTTTTATGTGTAGGAAATGTTTTAAGGCAGTGGTTTTCAAACGTTTCACCCCAAGTATCACCAAGATAAGATTTTAGAATAGAATAGAATGCCTTTTATTTTCACTGTACACATTTACAATTTACACTATACACATGCACAATGAGATTAAAAGATTAACAGCAACTCACTCTCCAGTTCAGACATGTATGTGGAATATTTACAACGTAGTATTAAAGAAGAATAGAATAAATAAATTTAGTTAATTTTGTTTTCAGAGTCCTTTTAGGTCTAGACCTGTACTTGATCAGACCTAAACCAGATTACGTTATGCAGAAGTAAGGTTGTGCAATGAATCGAATTTTGATCGCGATTTTCAGTTTGTGTGTGAAACGATCTCCAAACTCATATAATCGAGTTGAAACGATAAAGCTAACAAAGTTTATTTTGGGACATTTTTTATACAAATAAGTATATTTATTAAATTGTTTTAATATATTGATTATAGAACAGCTGGATATGTAGTTTATTTTGGATGCATTTATGTTTTTCTATGCCTTATATCATGTTCAAAGTATATTTTATTGATTTTATGTTTTAAGCATTTACAAGTTTTGCATAAATTATCAATAGTGTGTTGTTTTTTGTTGTTTTTTTAAAGAGTGAAATGCTGAACAAATGCATGTGTAACGTGTAACTAAAAAATAATTGTTGAATAATCGTGATTTCAATATTGACCAAAATAATCGTGATAATGATTTTTTCTATAATCAAGCAGCCTTATGCAGAAGCTTAAATAACTCTTAAGGGTGTTGCAGAAAGTTACACAATGCACCTTTCGAGTTTATTCAACTGACCGTCATGATAATTTATTTGTTATTGAATGATACCCCTACTTTTTACCCGCAATCGAACACCTTAAAATCAGAGTTTTTTTGGGCTGACAGGAAAAAAAACAAACCTCAGTGCCATTTTTTATTTCATGTGGACAGGCTCAGTAATTACAGAGATCGCAACTGTACACGCATCTGCAAAATAACAGTTAAACAACACACAACACCGTAGAATTTTCACTTGCCCTTCAGCTCCATTTGAAAACATGAACAGTTTTGATTACTACGAGAATCCTACCTATTATGTTGTGGTTGCTTTGTATCCTTTTCCTAGCTTTTGGGATTAGTGTTTGAATACAGGCTTGTAAATTTGTTTGCTGGGTGAGATGGGTCCTACGAGATCTGCACTAACATCAAGATTACTAAACAAACTCCAATGCAAAACTTGATAAGGTAGAAGCAAAGATGACGAGAAAAGTACGTAGATGAACGATGGTATCTTTCCTTCGAATGAATCCTCTTGTAAACCCTAATCACCGTGACCTTTTAAAACCATTACACATTATAAAACTGATCATTATCCACTCGCTTCTCGCTGACGGCTTTTTTTTTTTCTATCTATCTACAGGGGCGCCTTCGAACAAGATGTGCAAAATGGCTATCACCAGCATCCTGATACCTGCCACGGTAAGTACACCTCCATTTGCATCCATGATATAGTGCATTGCCAAGCTTAAAGGTCCGATATTACTCAAAATTGATTCTTGTGAGCACGTTAGAATGGTGCTACCTTCTCAAAAACATACCAGGAGTTGTGTTTTGTTTCATTCACACGTTTAAGTAATCCACCTTGTTCCACCTTGTGATGTCATCTGGGGGTAGTTTTCGAAGTAATAGCTACCTTTAAACTTTTTTTCTTCTTTTTTTTTTTTTTTTTTTCAATAGAGATTGGTGATTCCAGATCTGCAATTATCTAAATGATTCTAGTGAAGGTGTATAGGCTCTATTCATGCTTATATAACAAACCAAGAAGACGTTTTGGAATGTGATTACAACTTCCGCCGTTAATCCCGAGAATGGGCTCGCTCAACATGGATCTATTAAAGCCGACTGTAATAAAACCTATTGAAATAATCAGCGGGAAAATGAAGACTGCATACGTATGTGCTGTTTGGAATCATCTTGACTTTGGTGCCCTCATCTCTTCTAATCGCATGTACCCAGTGCTCTCGGAGTTGCGTGTTGTAATTGTTTATTAGCCGAGCATAACGGAATGCTACAATGACATGGACATGAAGAAAATGGGGCCTGAGAAGTTGTAATCGCATGTTTCCAAACGTCTTTCTGGTTTGTGATGTAGCGTGAATAGAACAAAAACTAGGCAAGATTTTTTTGGTAAAATTTTAAGATTTGTCGTGACTGGTCCACCACCTGCTTGTCTCCATGGAAATATAATTGCTTTGTCTAGAATGTTCCACAGTACAGATTAAACTTATCTATCATGTGGGAGACAGGCGGGTTACATCGCTGTGCTACATTACAGTTCAGATCTGTGGAGAGTCGTCCCTATTCACAGAATTATTGTATTGACACCCATAATTTAAAAAACGCTAGATAGATAGAGATATGTTTAATGCCATACCATGGAACATTCTTGGGAAAGCAATAACATTACCATGGAAGTATAAACAGACCCTCCACCAGAAAAGTTACACACTGCATCGTTAAATGTAATTACGGTAACTATATTTTTGGTAAAATGTGTAGTCTAACCCGTCATATGCAGTAAGTGATTCCCGCTCTAATACACTATAATGGATTATCAAATATTTTTTTTCTTCACAAAGGGCAGCTTTGTCCACCCACACTGGCCTTTTCCACGGGTCTAATATTCTCCATCTCCTCTAAATGCAAAACCACATCTATGAGTGTCATTAGACTTTAGTACAAACTATAGTGCTTTTATACGAAGTGGTCCCATTCAGTAATTAGCCTCCGCAAAGCAGTTAGTGAGACTTTTAATGAGCGTTTCTTTGTTCGTTTGCAGATGTCCTGGCAACCACTCGGAGACAGAACACAGCAGCGGATTCGGCATATGGTCAGTGAAAAATTAAATTCTCTTTTTTTTTTAACAACTTTGAACAGACAAAAGGTATTAGAATTTAAATGGAGGATTTCTTTACTTGTAATGATTGCGATGGAGAGAAATCACTGACTGGAAAACAGATTCGGTTGAGTGTCATTATGTTTTGGTTTGTTTACTTTCTTGGTAAATGGGTCGCCTTCAGGAACTATATTCGCCCCTACCAATAAAAGCAGGCCCGTCGACAGAAATTTGGGGGCCCGGGGCAAGAAGCCTCACATGGCCCCCCCTCTAATATGGGAAGAGTGTCCGATCTCAGGGACCCTAAAACCTTGGGGCCCTAAACAAAAACAATGCATATGGTTTCTGTGCACAACTTTGAAATAAAAAAAAAAAAAATGTCTGAGTTATGTACAGCAAAAGCAGAAACAAGTAGTATCTAAAACGAAAAGACAAAATCGAAAAAAATGTGAAGTTTGTTTATTAACCTGGACATTGTTTTTGCATTTATGAGTTATATATTAAGATTTGTGATTTATTTTTACGTTAATGACATGATCTACTTGTAGACTGTATCAAGATGTGGACTAAGGGAGTGTGATGTCACCCACAACGTTCGGGTCCAGTCAAATGAAGTTCATCTAGGCTGGCAATAAAAGCACGAGGATCGTATAGACATTTTAAGACCAAAATGAGGAGCCTGACAGCAGCAGTTACAGAGAGAGCAGCAAAGTTTTTCAATACAAATTAAATTGGAGCCAGAGTCAGTGGAGCCGGAAGTGTGCCAATGCTCACTTCAGGTTAGCTATGTTGATTTATATTTACAGTCTATGTTGTAGACATTAGCAACATTAACATAACTGTACATTTGTAACTGCAGAGGCTCAAACACTGCACAGGAGCAGGTTCACAAACAGCGGGTGGACGGTTGTGAATAATTATTAGAAAAAATAATATAACCATGAATTTTTGTAGATATTAAATTTTATTCAAACACAGGGCACCGCCATCTTAAAGGGACAGTACGGAATTTTGGACATAGGACCTAATGTTTTAGTGAGCCAGAGTGTTGGAGACGTGTGGAGACATTTTTAAAAATATTCCATCCAGTCCTTGTATTTGCAGAGGTCGCTGGTGCTAGGCTAGTGCATGTCAATGGCCATAGTTAGCCTGCCACTAAAAACAGTCTTACCCACTCCACAAAACACCCAAAGCAAATCTATTACTACACCAGACTGTCCATGTAATTGTCTGTGTCGATAGAATAATTTTAGAAGTAAAACTAACCTTGCATTTGAAGGATTTATGTCTGAAAGTCTATAGATTTATGTTTATGTTGTTTGAAGGATTTATGTCTGAAAGTCTATAGAAGTTTATGTCTCAAAGTAAAATTCTGCTGCTGCTGAGAAAATAGTTCCTCAACATGCAAAGACTTGATGTGATGCAAGGTTAGTTTTATTTCAGACATTATTCTATCAACACAGACATTTACATCGAGAGTCTGGTGTAATAGTAGATTTGTTTTGGGTGTTTTGTAGAGTGGGTAAGACTGTTTTTAGTGGCAGGCTAACTATGGCCATTGACATGCACTAGCCTAGCACCAGCGACCTCTAAAAATACAAGGACTGGATGGAATATTTTAAAATGCATCTCCACACGTCTCCAACACTCTGGCTCACTAGGAAATGAGACCCTATGTCCAAAATTCCAGACTGCCCCTTTAAATTTAGTCAGAAAACGAAAAATATTGACCTCAAAGGAAACCTGAAACACAGAATTTATTGATGAGTGTAAAGCGGTGACTTGTCATAGAAGCCATCAAGTTACCCTGCATATTTGCCTCAGATTTAATTGACATCCTTGGTTAAATAATGGTCTACTGTAGTTATGAACAGTGTCAACATTAAACACATTTATAAACCCACAAAACCATTTCACTTGGGCAAAGAGAGGAGTTTGTTCAGCTGCCAGTATCCATATTTGCATTGAAACTAGTGTTGTCACGATAAAGAATTTCCAACTCCAGTTTGATCCTAAGAAATAGACTCGATACTCAGTGCTGATTCTGATGCCACATTAATAATAATATAAAAAAACATAATTTCTTTAGACAATAGAATTCGATTTTCAACATTAAATCATAGTACTATTTGGGAAAGGTTCATTTCTTTCCTGTGAATGTGACTTTTTTTTGTATCAATACCTTCTCAAATGAGTATCTTGATTTTAGTATCGGTTAATAGATGATACTTTTGACAATCCTATTTAAAAGTGCAAACTTCAAACTCATTTTACAATACTGGACATATTTCCCAAGCCCGAGCAGAGCCATATTGAGAACACTGAAGCGGGACTGTGGACTCCGGTGGTCTGTGCAGCGGCTTTGGGCAGGGACAGTTGAACGGTGGGGCCCCTCGTCTCACTCTCTGTCATGTGAGGGACCGTGCGTCACACTGACCAGCCCCTGAACGGCCTCTGACCGCCTAATGCCCTGTATCGAGAATGATCATCTGCCCCCGTCACGGCCCATTACTCCCCCTGGTGGAGAGTGCGGTAATGCACCTGGCACGGGTGTACCGGGACAGGAACATGGCCAGGCTGTTGAGCTGTGGAGCTTTCACACAGGACAGGGGAGGTTGGGGCTACAGCTACTAATTATTTGAGTAGTGGACTAGTCAAGCGAGTATTTCTCATGTGGCTTGGAGATTTTTTTTTACATCAAATTTTACAAGTAAGCTAAAATGTGGGCAGATATAGAGACTAGAGTTTTTAAAAATTATTTTTAGAAAGTAGATTTTGTGATGGTACCAGTTTTTGACCAACTTTGTAATTTAAGTTTTCAAATCAGAATTCAGTTCAATGCACGACTTACACACACCCAGGAGTGTGAACATGTAAGACTCTAATACAAAACAAATGTGGTTATTCAGTTTACCTCTGGTTTAGCCCTGGTGTAGTCCTGGTGTAGTTAAGCCCTGGTTTAGTCCTTGTTTACTCCTGGTTTACTCCTGGTTTAGCCCTGGTTTAGCCCTGGTTTAATCCTTGTTTACTCCTGGTTTAGTTAAGCCCTGGTTTAGCCTTGGTTTAGTCGTGGTTTAGTCCAGATTTAACCCTGGTTTAACCCTTGTTTAGCTCTGGTTTAGCCCTGATTTAGTTCAGGTTTAGCCCTGGTTTAGTCCAGGTTTAATCCAGGCGTAGTCCTAGTTTAGCCATTGTTTGGTCCAGGTTTAATCCTGGACCAAACAGTTTAGTTTGAGTCCTGGTGTAGTTAAACTCTGGTTTAGCTCTGGTGTAGCCCTGATTTAATCCTGGTTTAGCCCTTAATAGCTCTGGTTTAGTCCTTGTTTAACCCTGGTTTAACCCTTGTTTAGCCCTAGTTTAGCCCTTCTTTTGGCCTGGTTTAGCCTTGTCTTAGTCCTGGTTTACGCCTGCCTTGATTTAGCTTAAAGCCTTTAAAGTTAATCCCAATCTTAGCACAGTGCGGTCAGATACACAGTCAGATAGTCAGACTTCGTTGTTTTCCATCATTGCGCTCTCAGCCTGCTCCACTCGCTTTCATCTTCGCACCAAAGGACCCCGCTCAACTTTGCGAGGACTTTCAAGGACCATTCTCTTTTTGGACCGGACAAATTGGGACCTAAGGGACCTCGTGGTGTTGGAGGATCCAGCACAGTGATTAGTATGAGCTGTGGGCCCATCATGTGGAGAGTGCGCCACTGTTAAACCCCCCTCTGTGCACTCGGCTTTGACTCTGCCTATGAGCAGAGTCACAACCTTTGTCTGTAATGGTATTAGTATGATGCTAGTAAAGCAGAATGGCTGAGTGAGTCGTGTTCTGAGCGGTCAACGTTGTTAAAAATGTTACAACATTCAAGCAGTTCTAGGAGTGTTGAAAAATGTGAACTGTTAGTATAGAAGTTAACCATTCTTATGATCATTTTAGAACTTTAGAATGTACAAAAGTCTTGAAAAAGTCCAAAACCAAAAGCCATGTAAATGAAACCCCCACTAGTAATAGCCAAGCAAGATGTCCACAAATATTGAACCATCTGGTCTAGGTAAAATTATCAGTTTTCCCCCTCACATTAATCTGAATTTTCAAAAAAATAATTTCCCAAAACAAACGATCGATTTCATGCACATAAGGCAGATTTTAAAGGAACTGTATGTAAGATTTAGATTTTGAATTTAATTAAAAAAAAAAAAAAAGTCTATCTCTGTACCCACATATGAGGTAAAAAATGTTCAAATCAAATGTAGCTTATGCTGATAACATTTGTAATTCTGATATATTCTTAATTAGAAGATCAGAAAGCAGAATGAGCCTCACTCGACTCTCTCATTTGGGTTGCCGGTTTCAACACTGAAATCCAGTTGGTTTCAGTGAATGAATGAAATTTATTTGTCTCAAACAGTATTAACACAAAACATGATGTAATGTAACATTTAACAACAGTGTTTGAGAAGAAGTAGAATGAAGCTCAAGGTTTATTCTGGTTCCACTCCTTTTTCGTTAAGTTTAAACCTCAAATACTTCTCTCTGATCTGATTGGTCATTAACTAAACCCCAAAACCTCCAGCCAATCATAATTCAGTGCTAGTGCAGGCCTCTGCAGCTCAGTGAGGGAATTCTGGAAGTTCTGAACTTTCACATGAGGCCTGGTCTGTCCATATACTGAGATTGAGAAGTATTTATACATCTCCTCTATTTGCAGTTTAAGGCTCTGGCAACTAGGGATGGGCATGATTAGTCGATTAATTGATAATTGATCATTAAGAATTTCATCGATTACGTTCATTTTAATCGACAAACCGAATGTAGGTTGCTGTGCGTAGCGTGACCAAACAGGGGTCCGTACATGTAGCTCTCTGCACTCAGAAGGAGACACAAACAGTCAATGACTTGTACAAGAAATTCCACGCTTTCCATTCCATTCGGGACAAGTGTGAGTCCATGTGCACAGTGTACAAAGCAGCACATATGTTTCTGTGTTCAGTGAGAAAATTTTTGCCAG